ATCACCAAATAATTACTTGCATAATTTCATGTAAATTTTTGTAATGATGTGACAGGTCATGATGCTAAAAATACAATATTCAATGATCATGAAAGTTCACTTAGCAGTTAAAATCTGAAAAAGACCAATGACTTATGAAAGAACTCACAGAATTCCTAGGACTAGGAGAATCCGTGGAGGGGCTTTATAATAGCAAAACTCAGATGCTTAAAGTTTTGTTTTCAGTTTAATTCAGCTGTTGGAATGGGATATCTAATGCCCACCAATGTAATGATGAAACCTGGCATCCAGCCAATTGACTGCACTCCAAGTACCTACAGGCCATTTGGAAACAGAGCAACTGTAACTAGGCTATTGTATTGCAGGCCTGTACCTGTGAACACTTTGGAGTATATAGTTCTTGGGTTCTGGGACTATCCTAGGATGGCACTAAATGTAAAATAAGGGGTAATGTCTTTCAACTTGGGATCATCATATTGTTTTCATTATTTTATCTGGTTTACCTTGAGATTTTGATCAATTCTAGGTAATAAATCACTTTTAATTCCTCTTAGAAGTTTTGATCAACTCTAAGGTGATGCAGAGAGTCACATTAAGAAGGAAAGAAGTCAAATGGATTAGCAGAGTACTCATAACACCTCTTCCCCACCAATTTTTTTTTAGAATTGGAACATCTTGTAGGAGAAAGACAGTTATAAAGTCACCCCTTATCCTTCCATAGGGGTCCTGTGGGTTGATAAGTAGCCTTAGTCCAGAGAATACCTCCTGATGGTACCCATAGAATGAGAGTTAGGATGCAACCAGGCATTAGCAGGTACACCCAGGTACTCCTGGGTGACTTGGATTCTGCTCCAGATTATTTTTTAAAACTCTATTGGGAGGGAAGTTAGTACAGTGGATTTTACATGAAAGTGGTGGTGGATCTAGATTTTCTATCTAGCTTGATCAGTGATTTCCTTTTAGGATCTTTAGTAAACCACTTACATACATTGCGCCCCTTTCTCTTGAATGTAGGATAACAGTGTCTGCTATTTTTTTTCTGGTGATATTATGAGTATTCAAATCACTTGCATACATTGTTAGTTCCTGGAGGAAGCTGAGATGTAGTCTCTAATGATCCCTCTAAGTAGAAGACCAGAAGGATTGTTTAAAAATGAGAGAAAACCAGGCATGGTGGTGGACTATGTGGTGGCACACACCTGTAAACCTAGCTATTGGAGAGGCTGAGAATGGTGTATTTCTTGAGTTTGGGAGTCCTAAGTTTTCACAGAGTAGGCTAACTGCATTTCCATACTAAGTTTTGCATTAATATGGGAAGCCCTTGGGAACAGGTTGAGGGTAGTACCAGGTTGCCTACAGAAGAGTGAACCAGCTCAGGTAAGAAATGGAGCAAGTCAAAGCTGCCAGATTGATCAGTAGATCAGCCCTTGAATGGCTTCTGTATTTCCAGTCTGGGGAAGATAAGAAGAGCTAGATTTTTTTTTTATGAGAAAAGGAATGAAGCAGAATTAACACAAGAGGTGGTGGAGTTATTCAATGTTCAAACCATTTAATGGATCTTTGCTAAGGAGTTAGTTTAAGTACTTTCCTATGGCATGTTTTCAGAAGCTTCAACAACAATAATTTTGTCCCAACAATATAAATCCAGATATTTTATCTTCCTTCTTCTTTTCTGTCTTTTCTTGTCTCTTCTTTTTTTTTCCCAATATCTATCAACCTGTTCCTATTTCCCTTTGCTCGTGTGACATTTAAAAAATTTGAGCCATAATTTCTCGTAACTTATCATTTTATGAATAATGCTAGCATATCACCAATAAAATGGGTCAGTAACACTCTTGAATGCCAAAGACCTCTTATAGAATGCATTCAAAGCTTATATGTCCTTTGAAGGGTGTGTGTTCCTGACTCTGATTGTATCATTGTTATTACAATGAGAGCTGGATCTATTCTAATGAGGGTCAGGGAGATGTAATTTTGATCATGCCATTTACTTCCAAATCACCCCTAGCTAGGGGAAACCTAGACAAAAGATCTATATCCTCTACCCAAGCCTGAACAGAAGACAATGGGCTGGGGTTTCACCTTAGATTAAATTCCTTATAAGGTTGGGTGGGTTAGCAATACCTAGATTGAGGAGAATGTTAATCCTACCTGCTATCATCAGTCCTATCCTTCAGAGGCTGAGCCTTGAAATGAGGACATTAGAAAAAGGGGGAACTGTGGATCTCTCCCAATTATTGGTTATTAATAATCATTTGTCTCACTCTCATTCCTCATTTTCTATATTTTGGCCCCTGTTTTCTCTTTACTTCTCTCTGAGATGAGATGGCAGTTTGTTTAGAAGAAAATTTTCTTCCGTCAACCTGACCTGTACGGTACAATCAATAGATCCTCCATCCAAACAGCACCATGCTTTTAAACATCACATATGCTAGTCAAGGGAAGAAGAAAAAGCACGCAGTTTGAATGCAAGAGACCTTGGCTCAGATGCTGACTCTGCTGTTTACTAACTGTGTGAATTTAAACAAGCTATTTAAACTCTTCGGGCCTCTCTTTTCTCATTGGTAAAACCAGGTGATCTTTAAAAATTGTCTCCTTTAAAGTGACTTTCAGTTTTTCTTTTATTATAACAGTTAAACCTTCAGGATCACTCTTATAATTGTCCTTACAGCTATTTAAAACATTATTGGAGGAAGAATTACAATTCTATTTGAGGGTCAACATTTTCATCGATGTAGATGATCCAAACTATTTTAAATGAGTGACAATATCTGTATTCAAAAGCATATTATTAAGCTTAATATAAATCTAGACCAAATGTGTGTACACATTAGAAGTTATTAAGCAACCCATATTCATTCTTATATTTTCTCTCTTTCATTTTAAACTAGAGAAATTCATTTGTAAATCCTAGTTTAGTCATGGTGAAGCAAATGTAAAGTAGGACATTTGTTTGAATGTTATTGAATACCTATAGATGGCACCATCATATTTCAAAATGGCAAGAGGAGGGCCTGAACCTGAAAGGCCTATGTTTATATCTTCTTATTCTCTAATTGTCAATAATGCTCGTGGCTCTCCTAGTATGTCACTCAACGAATTGTCCTCCATTGATTAGAACATTTTCTTTCAAAATATTTTTCATTCTACCTTGGAAAGGGTAGAATTACAGCATTACAATATCTTACCTTTGTAGAATGCATTTTCCTCCAAGTGTCTTCACATCTATTAACTTTCTTTTTTTTTTTTCATCTTTTTTTTTTGAGGCAATTGGGGGTAAGTGACTTTCCCAGAGTGACACAGCTAGTGAGTGTTACGTGTCTGAATCTGGATTTGAACTCAGGTCTTCCTGACTCCAGGGCCAGTGCTTTATCCACTGCACCACTTCTATTATAGCTGCCTTCTATTAACCCTTTCTTGAGGCTGATAGAATAGTTGCTATCAGCTCTATTTTGCAGGTGAAGAACTAGAGATCTATAGCAATTATGCATTTTGTCCCAGTTCATGTAACTAATTAATGGTAATGATGAGGGCGGGGCCCAAGCCAAGATCTTCACCCTTTGCCTCAAAGGGAATCTGATTTACAGGCCCTAGACCCTCATCTCCCTTTGAAAGCCTTAGCTTTACCTTTTAATCTTATTCAGATTAAAGGCCCTAAAAGCCTTAGGTTCCCTCTTGTCTATAAGCCCCAGAAAGGCCTTCCTTTGTCTCCTTTTGAAAGTCCTAGCCCCACCTTGATTTTGTGCAGATGCCTTTCAAACTTTTGCCTTCCTGTTCCTCCATTATCTATTCCCATTGTCTATTCAATCTCACCGACCTCCCCAATTAGAATTGTTACCTACACCCTTTACCCAACCCCCTTCTCTGGCCACCCAAAGTTACTTTGGTATTTAAGATCCACCTTGGCCCTCATTTAGATGCTGAGAATCTCAGGCCCACAAGGCTGAGAACCTCTCATGCCCGCTCGTCTTTACGGGCGTCACCAGGCCTATATGTTTTACCACCAATAAACTTTTCCTCTGGCTGAAGAAGATTTGGGTTGAATTCATTCAGGCAGGGCCCGGTACCGCGATCTTGGGGTCCCAGCACCCCAAAACCCCTAGACCTCTTCAGTAAAACCACTAATTCTGCTCCCTTTGTTGATTACCTCCTATTTACCTGAACTGCATCTTGCTAGTGTATAATATTTTAAGGTTTGCAAAGAGCTATACAAATGTCATCTCATTTTATCCTTAAAACAACCCTGGGAAGTTGATGCTATGATGATCTCCATTCTGTCCATGAAAAAACTAAGGCAGAGAGAGGTTAAGTGACTTGGCCAGGGTCAAACAGTAAGTAAGTACCTGAAGCAGGATTCAAACCAAGATTTTCCTGAATTCAGGTCTAGTGCTCTATCTAATGGGCCACCTAGCTGCGTAGTTGTTTGTATATTATCTCCCCCATTAAACTGTGAGCTGCTTGAAAACAGGCTATTTTTTTTTGCCTTTATATCTCCAGTATTTACCACTGTGTCCAGCACATTGTAGGTGCTTAATAAATGCTTGTTGACTTCTAGTGTGGTATTTTTTTCCATTTTACCACAATGCTTCTGGGTCCTGATCACCTTCAAAAATCTTTGAGAATCACATCAGCATTTATTAAAGAATGATTCTGAAGCAGTGGCATAATTATCAGAATCCAGCTCTCTTAAAATCCCTTTCTTCAACACTTCCTGCATGCTTAGGAACCATCTTTCCTGAAACTCTTATCAATGGTAATGGTAGTTCCACAGCTCACTGAAGTCAGTTAATAAGGCTGCTATATTGTCTATGTTGTCAAGGGGACATTTCTCCTTTTATCTTCCCTGTCTTTCATGCTTGAATGCTGCTTTTCAGCCTCCACTTGATCCCACAAAGATCTCTTTCAAAATAGTTGATGTATCCCTTGCGTGTTTTCCCTCATTCAAATACACTAAAATACTGACTATGAAAATGCCAGGTGTCTCCCCCCATTTGACTTACTTTGTAGCTAGAATCATCTTTTTCCTTGCTGTCTGTTCTTTCTGTTCCATATGCTGTCTGGCAAGATGTTCTCCTACTGCCTTGGCTGGAAACTCTGTTTCACAAGTGTAGCCAAAATCCCGAGCCAAATGTAAAGCTTCTCCTGTTAACAGAAAAAAAAAATCAATCCTCGTATAAATTCTCAGCAGAAGTATCTTATATGTATTTTTAAAAATATTATGCATCTTGAGGTATGCTGAGGTGGGCATTCTCCCATTCGTTTCCATAAATCCTTTATGGGAGAAGGGGGAGATATTATATTCTAATTTAATAATAATAATAATAATGATAATAGCTAACATTTACACAACACTTGCTATGTGCTAAGCACTTTACAATTCTTATCTAATTGATCCTCACAGCAATCTTGTAAAATAGGTGTTATCCTCAATTTACAAATGAGGAAACTGAGGTTAAGTGACTTGCCCAGGGTCACATAGCTACAAGTGTCTGAGGCTGGAGTTGAACTCAGATCTTTCTGATTCCAGGCCCAGAGTTCTATCCACCACACTGTCTAGTTGTCTTATTTGCCTAATTACTCAGCAAACTGGTAAAAGAGCCAGGAACAGAAGCTAGAATTCTCAATTTCTCATCAAAGGTTCTAACCACTGGACCAGATTACTTTTCTGATATACTCATCAGAAGTTCAACATGTAAATATTCTGGGAAGAGGGCTTACAGATTTGTTACTTTACTTGCATTCCATTTAAGTCTATCTTGAACCTCACCTTCCTCCTAAGACTCCCAAACAGTTAATATTTCCAAGTGATAGCAGCACTTAGGTTGATAAATGTACCAAAGGACATTTGGAAGAATTTGATGCATTTTGGAAAGTATAATAATTGAAATTATTCTCAATATGATGATATTACATCATTAAAGAAAGAGCATGACAATTATAATATGTGTATATATATGTAGTTGTTTTGCTTTCAAAAAAGCTTCAATGAACTATGGAAGTTTTTATTGAGTTCATTACAAACCTAAAGTAATAAGAATATAAAATTTTTCTTTTTTTAGGCAATTGGGGTTAAGTGACTTGCCCAGGGTCACACAGCTAGTAAATGTCAAGTGTTTGGTCTGAGGCTGGATTTGAACTCAGGTACTCCTGACTTCAGGGCCAGTGCTTATCCACTGCACCACCTAGCTGCCCCATAAAGTTTTTCTTTTTAAAAATAAGTTAAGAATGAAATGTTAAAAAGATACAATATGATTATAAGGGAACACTACTGGAAGACAGAGATCATGTTTCTAAGATATGATTATTCTGGTAATGTAAGGTGAATAATCATCACCCAGTGGCTGCTATGTATAAGATACAGTACTTGGCACTATGGGTGATACAAGTATCACCATCCTTGACCACAAAAAGCTTAGTGTCTGCAAATGCTTGTTGGTGATTGACAATCACATGAAAAGACAACCAACCATACAATAAGAAAAAAATAGTACAGAGAGTTTGGGTTGAAGAGTTAGGAAAGAAGATGTTATCGGTGGGCTTTTGAGATCTTCAGCATAATCGCATAATTTACCAGATTTGATTATTAAGAAAAGCAAATAGCTGTAACATGACTAACAACCAAATCTAATCAACCACAGGTAAACAAGTCAATTGTCAGGTGACCATCTCACACAACGGATTTTTTAAAAAATTGCTACTTCTTGTCGTAAAGGCGGATTGAAACAAAGAATGGTTTTCGGGGAGGAAATAGAGAACACCTAATAATACAAATAGAAAGCAAAGGAGGTATAGGATAGGACAGGTGAGAGATATTACAGAAGAGTGAATGTTTTAAAACAAATTTTGGAACAAACTTCACAAACAAGTGAACAACCAAACCCAAATCTCACAGTTTCAGGCTGAGATGAGTAGCATTTGATAAATTTCTATGCAGAATGATGAAGTTAGTTACAGAAAACACCAAATGAGAAAACAACTTAGGATCCAAGAAAAGATAATTTGGAAGTAGATTTTCCCCTTTAAATGTCCTTGATTATCTCATTTCCTTTTCTACAGCTCAAGTCCTAACATTTTAAAAATAATTTCCATGTGATTTTAGCTCAATTTAATTTTTTTTCCTGCTGTGCATTCAAAATAACTGCAAGAAATATCAGCACTTAAGTCCTTTATTAATTCATGTGGAACTTGAACTGGATTTAGTCAGAGGATGTGGATTCAAGACTTGTCTCTGAAACTAGCATGTGAAACTGTCATCACTTCACCTTCCTAAGTCTTGGTTTACCCATATGTAAAATGGAAATAATATCTCACAACCCTCTTGTGAGAAAAAATTTTGTAAATTATTATTATTGCTACATCATATTTGTACCTTGTATGGCTAATGCCTACAGAAAAAAAAGAAAATTTGTGAATTTCCATTTTCTTTATTATATTCTAGCTTAATATTTTGTTCTGTTTTTAATTGAGATTTGATGTCTAAATATGTGAAATTGCCAACTGAACTTAACTCCCTGAGGCAAAACTTGAGGATAAAACTTAAGCCTATTTATACAAATTCATACAAGTTATCATTTACTGACACACAGTGACTTCAATGTGGCAAAAAAAAAATTGAATATAAGCAAATAAATGGAAATCAGGATAGTAAATGGGCCCTAATATGTGGCTTTGGTAATTGTTCTTTCATACTGGGAATTGTCAGCAGGTCTTTAGAGGTAATAAAAACATACATATTATGTGAAATACTCCTCCTTCCACAATTTTACCTAAAAGGGTGATATGGCAAAGTGGAATTACCTACAATAAATCAATCTGTGATGCTTAAGCATTGTGATAAAGCTTCCATTTTTATATATTGATATAAAAATACTTTCCCTAGAATCTTGTAACATTGTTTTGGAATTAAAATGTATTAGAGTATACCTGATAGAAGAAATAATACAAGGTCACCACGGAGCACGATTTGAATCTGTGTGTGGGTAGCCATTGCTTGCTGGGCAGTGACATAAAGTAAAATTACTCTTGTGTGGGGCCATTGGAAAGGGGCTAACTTAATGTCATCCAAGATGATTGGCAGCTTGGAAAAGAGGACGAGAGGAAGAGACATACATGACAAGGTCATCAAAAGCCACAATCACTGACTAAAAATTTTTCTTAGGCTCTCCATAGTTCTAAGGCATTCAATCCTTTTCCGAGTATTCTCCACTCAGCTGTCAAACTGATCTTCCAAAAGCGCAGGTCTGAACATGTCATCCTTTCCCCCTATTCAACAAACCCCTGTGGCTCCCTATTACTTCCAGGATCAAATAGAAAATCCTCTGCTTGGCTTTTAAACCTCTTCATAACCTTGGCCCTTCCTACCTTTCTAATCTTCTTATACTTTACTGCCCTCCACAAACTCTTCGATCCAGTTACATTGTCCTTCTTGCTTCTTCAAGCAAGTCATTCCATCTCCTGACTCCAGGCATTTTCAGTAGTTGTCCCCAGTGTTTTCTGTACTCTCTCCTCACTTCTGCCTCCCGGCTTCTTTTAAACCCCAGTTAAAATCCCTCCTTCTACAAGAAACTTTCTCCATCTCCCTTAATGCTAATGCCTTCCCTCTGAGTTTATTTCCAATAGCTTGTTTATATGGAGTTCTTAGTATGCTGCCTCCCCCATTAGACAATAAGCTGCTTAAGTGCAGAGGTTTTTTTTTTCCTTTCTTTGTATGCTCAGCATTTAGCACAGCACCTGAAACACAGTGTTATTGTTGTTCAGTCGTTTCTGCTCTGACTATTTGTGACCCCATTTGGAGTTTTCTTGGCAAAGATACTAGAGTAGTTTGGCATTTCCTTCTCCAGCTCATTTTGCAGATGAGAAAACAGGCAAACAGGATTAAGTGACCTGCCCAAGGTCACCCAGCTAGTAAGTCTCTGAGGCTAGATTTGAACTCAGGTTTTCCTAACTCCAGGCCCAACACTCTATCCACTGTGCCACCTAGCTTCCCTAACCTAGGTGGGTGCTTACTGTTGACTGACTGGGCATGCCAAACAGTGGAAAGGGTGCTGAATTTGGAGTGAGAGACTCTGGATTCAAATTCAGATTCTGCCATTTAGTACTTATGTGACTTAACACTTCCAGGCTCCTTTTCCTTATCTATAAAATGAGGGGTTTTGATTACATAATGTCTGAGGTCCCAACCAACTCTAAAATGCTGATCTTATTTAACCTAGAAGGCAAATTGCCCTTATGTGAACTAAAAGTCTCACATTGGTCTTTTGGGTCAGCTCCATTAGCATTGTATTATTGTATTAATATTTCAATAGTGAGTTCAACTATTGCCATATACATAGCTACATATTGTATTAGTCACATGCCTAATACAAATACTTAAAGGTGTTTGGGGGGGGGGTGCAGTAGGACTATTAGATTTTTCTCTACTGTTTGTCCCTATCCTGATTTGTTTAACAGTGAGAGAAGAAAAATGGTACAAACAGTAGGATAGCAGCATTTTTATTAAATTTCATGCTAAAATCTGCTTCTTGGAGATCTGGTCTATTTTATGCAACAATCTCACCGTGAGGTGGCTCTTAAAACAGTTTGAACAGAACAGCTGCTATTTACATTTACACTGACAGCCAGATCCTTCCCTCCCCCAATTCTGTTTACTGCTTTCTGTGCTTGTGAGATAACATTGTTATAGGATGTTCAGCAATGCTGCATCAAACGGAATGGCAAGTGAAGACACACTGATACGTAGTTAGAATGTGTATATCAAGCCACATAAGCTTTGGGTATAAGAACCCAGGAATGAATGGAGGGAGGGAGGGGAAAAAAGAGGGAAGGAGAGATAGATGGATGAATGAATGAACGAATGAATGAAAATCATCCATGACATTTAAGATAAAGATATGACTAAACCATTGCTGTCAATTTTTAAAAGACTGACCCACAGATTTAGAAAACAGTCCTTCTAAGGTGAGAAGCAAAATGAAAAAGGTGCTAGAAGAGGTGACTCATATGATAATGTGGAGAACTTGTATCTTAGTTATTCCTTAATCTTATATCATGGGACAAAATTATCTGAGTTCATTGCCTTCTGGGTAAAGAAGAAATAGTAATAAAGGAGGAATGAGTGAAGCAAGTATTTATTAAGTGCCTAC